CCCCCCTCCCACTGCCAGCCCCCCTTGTGGCTTCCCCCCCTACCACCCACAGTCTCAGGCTCCCCACCCCTTCTTCCCTTGGACCCACAATCTCTATCCCTCACCCCCACCACTTATCTTTGCTCCAGCACCAGCAGACTGCATCCCCACTCCAGCCCCAGCTCTGGGACTTAGCTGAAACTGCCACTGCAACAGGACCAAGCTGAGGTTGTGCTCCATGCCCTGGGCTGGAACGGGGACAGAGACTGCTGGCACCAGAGCATAGGTAAGCGGTGGGGGACAGGGAGGTCAGAGCCTGCAGCTGGGGGCACAGATGGAGGAAGAGAAGGCAGGGACTTGATGTTGCGGGGGTAGAAATAGTGGGGCGGGCAGGCAGCAGCTGTAGCTCTGGTCCCAACCCCTGGTCAGGGCTGGAGCTGGAGTCTCAGCATCTGCCTGACACCTGACCACCTCATACTGTGTTCCAAAATGAGTTTTTTTTGTCTCCATATTAAATACAGTATTCACATAGTATAATAATTTAAAAAGATAACATATACACACCATAAAATATTTATGCCGTAACTTATGCTGATTCCAAAGCAGGAATGGAATTTCCAAAGGTCTTTTGATGCCGATATTAACACCGTGTCTATTTTTGAATGTGTATACCCTGGTTTGTGCTTTAATATTAGCAGTAGAGGGGGAGTATGTGTATCTGAAAGTGAAAGAACAGCACTCATAGTACGTGTATTCCTCAGTCATTCTCCTTCTTATTCTCAGTGTCCCAGTAAAACATTTGGAGGCTTTGATTCTACGAAAGACCTTCCTGATGAAGTTATCACATTTGCAAGAAGTCATCCAGCTATGTACAACCCTGTGTTCCCTATCAATAACCGCCCTATTATGATCAAAACAGATGTGGATTACCAGTTCACACAGATAGTAGTAGACCGAGTAGATGCAGAGGATGGCCAGTACGATGTTATGTTCATTGGAACAGGTAAGAGCCTTTGAAACTGAATCCTATGTTCTGACTTGGAACAGGGAACACACATTAGATAAGATTTCATCTGTAGTGAAAAGAAGAGAACATGTTGTTGCATGCATAGAGTACCTGTGTAGGTATTTTTGAGCAAGGTTCAGCATTGTGTATGTGCGTCCACACATATCTGTCACTGTCTCAGTGTCCTTTATTACTTAATGGTTATAAATTATGGGATTAGGATGTGAATCTTCACTACCAGAGTCACTGGTGGTTTTGAGAGTTTTGCATTAGATTTGAACTGGACCAGGATTCAATTTAGCTGTTGTTGTTATTGGTGCCGGTGATGATATTAATTTGCCTTTGTTAATAACGGGCCTTTTTTATCTTGATATTTTGCAGAATTTATGTTGAAGTACTTCCTATGAACTATTCACATAAGTAGTGCCAGCAGGATTTATCCCAATTGAGAATATTTCTTGTGTTCCCTTTAACTATTTTTACAGTGTGACTATATCTAACCTTCTAATCCGTTAGAAAAAGTGCCCCAAATATTCTGGAATATATAAAGATCCTAGGAAGATTGGGCAATGTTCTTGAAGGATGACACCCCAGTAGAGCATTTGTGCAGGCTTACAATTTAAGCCTTACATCATTCTTTCAGCAAGAAATGGAATTTACAACCAGAGAAAAGAATTTGTACATACATTTCTGCACAAAATACACCAGACGGCCGACATTTAGCTGGCATCTATCTGGGTAGCTTCAGTGACTTCAGTGGAACTACTTAGATTAGCGACATCATTTATGATCTTCCACCCATTGGCTGGTGTTTCCATCTTGTTTTAAATGTTTGCTTTATTACTCACACCATGGAGTTCAGACCCAAGAACCTTTGGACTTCAACATCACACTAAACATGACCAAGTTCTCTATATGTCTGTCTTTTTCATAGGAAAACTGTCTTTTCATTGCAACAGCAACAAATCCACAATTCCAGACTTAGGGTCATATTCCAAAGCAATAAATCTCAAGGCTTTCTTCATGCTGATGCCTAACATAAATCATGGGTAAACTGAGATCTGCATCGAAGTTTTGTATACTAAGCATATTGCATGTGTAGCAAATTGAGAACATTTACTGAAGGAAATGCAGCTATAAAGAAAGCATTCCAGCTCTTAGAAACCATAAACTGAACTATGAAATATTTGTGGTACAGCATGTTATTGTGTAAAACTGAGCAATAATTTAATTTGTTTTTATGTGCTACATTTTTTTCCCTCATGTAAGTGAAACTGAAGAATCAGTTTACATAGAATCATAGAAAGTTGGGGTCGGAAGGGACCTCGGGAGGTCATCTAGTCCACCCCCCTGCTCAAAGTAGCACCATTCCCAACTAGATCATCCCAGAGAAAGTTTTGTCTAGTTGGGTCTTGAAAACCTCCAAGGATGGAGAATCCACAACCTCTCTGGGTAACCTGTTCTAGTGTTTTACCACCCTCCTAATGAGAAAGTTCTTCCTAATATCTAACCTAAACTTCCCTTTTTGCAACTTAAGACCGTTGCTCCTTGTTTTGTCATCTGCCACTACTGACAACAGTCTATCTCCATCCTCTTTTGAACCCCTCTTCAGGTAGTTGAAGGCTGCTATTTAGTCCCCACTTAGTCTTCTCTTCTTTAAACTAAATAAGACCAGTTCCCTCAGCCTGTCCTCATAAGTCATGTCCTCCAGCCTTCTTCACCATTTTTGTTACCCTCCGTTGGACTCTGTCCAATTTGGCCACATCCTTTCTACAGTGGGAGGCCCAAAACTGAACACAGTACTCCAGATGTGGCTTCATGCTGGAATAATTTTCCTTGACCTACTGGCAACACACCTACCAATGCAGTCCTATATGCCATTAGCCTTCTTGGCAACAAGGGCACACTGCTAGCTTATTGTCCACTGTAACCCCCAGGTCCTTTTCTGCAGAGCTGCTGCCCAGCCAGTTGGTCCCCAGCCTGTCCTCGTGCATGGGATTGTTCCATCCTAAGTGCAGGACTTTGCACTTGTCCTTGTTGAACTTCATGAGATTTCTTTTGGCCCAGTCCTCCAATTTGTCTAAGTCACTCTGAATCCCATCCCTACCCTCCAATGTATTTACTACTCCCCCCAGCTTGGTGTCATCTGCAAACTTGCTGAGAGTTTACAACTCTCCATCAGAGAATGACAGTATAATGTCTGATAAGTTAATGCTTGCAAAACCTTTATAATCTTCAGTGTGAACTGCTGTAGTGAAGGCCTCATTTGACAGCCTGACTCTTCAACTTAATTTCCCTTTTGCGTGCAGGAGTTTTGTTCCCACATTTCATTGCAGGTCCAGATATCTGCAAGTCTATCTGACTTGCAGGTGACATGGTAAAACTTGAACTTGTGCTCCCGAATTGTGAGCTAGTTCTGCAAATGCAGTTACTCATATGTGGCAAAACACTACTAGAAATCAATTCAGTGTTATACATGTGCACGATTTTTCAGTCAGGTATCAATAATAGCCATAAACAGTGGATGGGTGTCTGGCCCTACCTGGCCAAAGTGAGTGCCTACAAGGTGCACCTTAGTTTTCTTTGCTCATTGCCTATGTTCAGTTTAGCAGCATGGAAAAAAAAAATATCTTCCATGGAGTAGATACACTCCCTTCTGTGTGGATAGGCAGGAAGAGGGTGGACTAAATTACAGCAAAGAGGAATGAGCCAGCAATCTAGTATTAAGTAATAAGAACCAGGTACAGGACCCTGAAAACTGGGGGAGCTGATTATGGAACCTAATCAGAATTTGATTTTCATCTTGTTGATCAGGATTTGGGACAAAGTCATAATCGAGCCCTGCATGATGTGATTGGCTTACTTTGTGTGTCTCTGTCCCATCAGATCACATTTAGCCATTAGCTGTTTCCTATTAGCATGGCACCAATCAGTATTATCCCTGTGGGCTGCAGAACTGCAATAAACTAAGGAAACCCTTTTATGGCCATTGACATAACAGGTGATAATTAAACCCAGAGTAATTAGTAGGCCATTCAGTATGGTCATATTTTCCTGTCCTGTGGCTGAAAACTTAGGCCAAGAAGTTTTGTTCCCAATGGGTGTGTCTACACATTGCCATATAGCAAGATTTCTACAGTGCCATGCTTTAGTATTTCGTTTGGAAGTACTAAAGCACAGTGCAGTAACTGCCTGTACTGTGCCATGCATGTGGCGCATGGTTAGATTTCTCCACTAGGTCGCCGTAGCAGCACACTAAAATGGGGGGAGCGTGCTGCTACAGCAACATAGCTGCTGATCATGTGTAGACTCACAGGATCGCTATATTGCTGTAGTGCGCCACATGGTGACGTAGCTCGTTGCTACATCACCATAGATCAATGTGTAGACACCCATTATAGGTCTCCCCTCCACACTCAGCTACTCCACGGTGGAAACAAAATCATATCAGAATGCTTGAAAATATGTGTGTAAAAACCCAGGTTTCAATGTATCCATTTAGTTTGTCCTAAATGTTTTGTGTTGGGGATCATTTGACACAGTTTAGGTCCATCTGTCAGTAAAGCGAATTAATAACAGTAATCTTATCTTCTAAACTTAGTAACTTACCGGAGCCCATTGATCCTTAAAGAGAAGCCTAATTCAATTTGTGTGAAATAGTTTGAAATACTACTCTGCAAAACTTGATCTAGAACTGAGATAATGCTCCACACTGGTACCTGGGGTCTAATTGGAGCCACCATAGTGATTAACATATTGTATCTTTGACCTCAAGGGCTTTCCACAGCACCAAGCTACCATAATCATAGCAGGATCTTCTTAAAAGAAAACCATGTATTAAAGAATGTGATTTTTACAACTGCAATGTGTCTACCTGCCTTTCGCAGATTCCATTACTCCAGTTGCTTGACTTTATCAAACTCCATTTACGTTTCCAAATTGTAGCATTCAATGGAATTTAAAAATGTGCTGCCAACAGTCGTATGCTAATCCAAATAAAACCCCACCAAAGCTCTGCTAACCCTTATTTCATTAGATCAAATTTTTCTTTGACGCTTAGAGTACATTTTTCTTAAAATCATAACCAAATTAGAGCCAGGTAATTAGGACAATTTTCCATTCCCTTATTACTACCAATGTTAATCTTTAATTATTTGTTTTGTTTTATTAGATCCAACAGTTATTATTCATCTTAACTTTGTGTTCTATTTGTTCTGTGGTATTCTGTATTATCCTTGATATAAATCTTTTAAAATAATAGTAATGATGGTAACAAATAATACACGTCAGAATTGCCCGCATCCATAATGTCGTGATAAAGTGTGTTGTCTTTGTTGAAATTAAAATGTTTATATCATTTTTTTCAACAAAATTAGTATATAACCACAAAGTATTTGTTTTTTGTTTTTTGTTTTTTTGGAAATCATAGAAGCCTTGAGTAGTTTGCAAGAGTTACTCTTTGAACATTTTTGCCTTCAAAAGAATGTTGACCTCCATAGTTTTGTTATGCTTGATACCTTACTACTTTTACCTGTTGCCTACATTTGCCAAAGTGAATAATTAATTTGGATGTCCAGCTAGAGACATCTATAAGGGGACTGGTTTTCTAAGGCTGAACGCTTATTATTGTCCACAATATTCTGAGACAGCACCATAATTAACAGACCTAAAACATTATATTGGAATCTCCATCTTTCTTGTTATGGTAAAGACTTCAGTAACATGCAACAAACTAGACATCGTTATTTGGGACCAGATTGGCAAAGTTGCACCTTGTTCTGAAACTTCTGTTTATTGAAGAAAAGCATATATTTATGCCTCAAAGGTTGAAAACAATATGTGGCCTTAGGTCATGAAATTCAGATGTCCTCTACAGAGTGTGTAGCTTTGAGGTTTCAAGGACCTGCTCACATGAAAGTCAGTGTCACAATTTTGGTGGCATAAATAGAAACAGTACAACTCACTGGTGCAAGACTATCTGTAAAGCAAAGAAACTAGTAGTAGAGCTTTAATTCCCCCCTTCCCTCCCCAAACAGAGGCTAATATCATTCATCATGCAATAGAAATATGGATGTCTTCAGGGACGTATACATTTTAGTTTCTTTTACTTGACACCGAGAAGATCAGCACATACTTAAGATCTGACAAGTTCATTAGTTTGACAACATTTTCCCAGCTGCCCGTGTATCCACACTGAGCCTTCTAACAACATCTGCACATGTATTTTAAAACAAGTATGAAAAATTTCCTATCTCAGACTGGGTAATAAAATGTGGTGGGGTAAATTTAGTGCATTCTCATCTTTAAGTATACCTCTGAGGCAGCTGACATTTCATGACAGCACTCTAATAATATTCCACTGTCCTGTTCATTCTTATAACAGCTGAAGCATGGTTATAGTTCATTTTTTATTGTGGTATTTCTATAATTAAAAGATTCACATCTTTATGTGAGGGATATTGTGCCAAATCATGTCTGACTGATATGGAGCCTCTTAATCCATGTATTGGAAATAATTACACATGACAATATTTCAAAGAATTCTGGTTTCTCTTTACTTGGAGTACATTAATTAAGCACCTGGACTTTTTCTTTTTCTTTTTCTTTTTCTTTTTCTTCAGATATTGGGACTGTTCTGAAAGTGGTTTCAATTCCTAAGGAGACTTGGCATGATTTAGAGGAAGTCTTGCTGGAAGAAATGACAGTCTTTCGGGTAAGTGCTGCTGAATTTCAAGTGTCAGGTTGTAGATTTTTTTCTGTAAACAGCTGCAAACTGAATGTTTTGCAGGATGACCACAGAGTAGCTTGGCATGCCCTCCTAATTAGCTTGTCAATTAGAGTCCCAGACACTAGTCAAAATAAACCTTGGAGCTTTCAGCGCTAGTTGGAGGTTACTGATAAAAGAAATTACATTCCTAACTCTTGTTGCGAGTTTTAGTGGTTAATCAGAATCACTGAATCTCTTAGCAGTTGTCACTTACAGTTGAACAAGAGGCGTTTTCCTGAATCTCAGCAGCCATCCTCTTTTGTAAAGATATACAAAATAATATTACCTAGAAACTTCCAGAAGAACAATTCAAAAGATCAGCGTGGGAGGTGATTCTTCAGTCTTATTCCTGGGTATTCCATGACACATCAATTTAAGAAAAATGACCAACATACACAAATTAAGTATGCACTTCCACTAGTTTTGGGATCGTGTTGACTTCCAGCCTTTTCCTGTGCCTGATATCTTCAAGAAGAAAAGAAAGCAAGTAACTACATTTCCAAATGGTCTTTGTGAGTGATTCACTATGACTTGAGTTACCTAAGAAGGCCTGAACTTCAGAGTGGATGTTTTGTAGAAATTAAACTCAGTTTTCACAAAGTATCTACCCTCTAAAAGTATCTGCCCTCACACTCAGCTACCCAAAACTGAATTACTAGTTTACTAGTAGCTACATGAACTAGTTACTTCTGAATATTTAGGCAGAGTATTTTAAAGGAGTTTCTAAAGAGATTTAGATGGATCTTAAGGGATGCTCTGTATTTGGCACACTACAAAAAAATCAAGGTTTCCTGCACTATCTGTCCATTTATTTCATCTTTAGTTGATGAGGAGACAAAACATATATGGGCAAGACTTGTAGAATTTTTTATTTTCAACATTCAAATGTTTGCAGACAAAGTAAACACAATTATCATTGTCTGAAGGTTGGTGTACCTCGCTATCAGGCTCTGTTTAATTTTTCCACCAACTATTTTTCAACACAAAAAATAAATGAAAAGCTATGAGGGAAGCTATGAGGGAAAAATGAGACAAGTTATCTCTGGATACTGACTTCTTTATTTCTTACATGCAGCAAAGTTATTAGGTATACTAGAGTATAACTTGTCATCTTCAAAAGTATTAGGGTCTCTTCCTTAATAAAAGGAAATTACCAACCTAAAGGAGATATAATCAATAAAGTATATATAAATATAATTAAATAGGAACAACACAATCAACATTTAATTTCAAAATGTATTTTCAGCAGTACCATAATTACTGGCAGATTAGGATTTGAGATTTAACTGTACTTGTGCTAACTTTACTAGGTGTTACATAAATATAGTTTGGTACTTTAGGTGTGATCTTCATTGGGCATGTCTACACATGCAGGTAGTGTGGATGAATGAACTCCGGAATATATTTATCCAGAGTTTATTCATGCACAGAACTTGGAGCAGTCCAGGCTGGCAGGGGACTCAGGAGGTCAGTCTTCCAGTCCAGGACTGCTTCAACTGGGCTCCATGTGCTGCAGGAGGGCCGGCTGGGCACAGGGTGCTTCAGTGTAGGACTAGCTGGCAGGCAGCCCCCACACTGAAGTACAATGTGCCCCAGCCAGCTTCTGCACAGCACATGGAGATGGGGGAGTAGCTGGGTCCCCTGCCAGCCTGGACCACTCCAACTGGGCTCCATATACTACACATGAATAAAAAAGAAGCCAAAACATTTACCTAATTAGTCAACTATGCAGTAAAGATCTCATGTAGATGTGTCCATGTATACTAACCCTCCTTTAAACACTTTGCTCAGGAAAGGAGCTTTGAGATGGGAATAAATGTATAACAAGAAGAGAGTCAGGTCTTTTAATAGTTACTTTCAATTTACCACATCTAAGTTTTTATTGGATATAGAAGAGTCTGTATGTGTGTCATGAAGAATGTATTTTACTGGGTAAGCTGCAATGTGCTGAATACAATAGTTTTTTTCATTTATAATTTCACAAAACATCCAGATCTGTTACATTGATAACAAATGCCTTTTTTAACCCAATTTGTGCAATATTTCTGTGACCAGCTGAGCAAACAAATGAATGAGTTCAGCTTTCATTCAAATGTTACACGTAATTGATGCTTTCTAATACCAGGTCTGTTAACCTATTTGTAAAGGAGAGTCCACATACTTAGCATCCACTGAGCCATATCAAATTCTCCCAGGATCAGCAAGTTGAAAACTTTGCAAGTGTGAACGCTTAATAACAACTATATTAATGTACCTTGATAAAAATAAGATGCATAGGATCAGTAAGAGAGTTTTGGGATGCAGTAAGGTTTGTACTTCAGTGAAACTCCTAATTTAGTTGCAACAAATGACTCAATCCAATAGCGCTTACTCATGTGAGTAATCTCATAGAAACCTTTGAGGCTACCCAATTAAGTTGGAGAGTTAGGATCAAGCCCTGATGCAGGATGTTATTAAATGTTCACTTTTACAAAACCTCACAGTGTTTGGTATAGTAAGTAATTATTGGCCCAAGTTCTGCCTGCATTGTGTAGGCACAATGTCCCCTTGATGTCAGTATCTGAACAGGGCATAGAGGATTTTGTACATTGTGGTTGTGTCTATATGTACATTAATTCGCCTTTCCTAATGTGCATTAAATTAAGTACCTCCAATGTGAGGTACTAAATAAATGTGCGTTAAGCTGTCCTAATATGCAGTAATAATAGTGCATGTTTTTAAGTGATGCTTAATGCGCAGTGGCTATCTTATTGCACATTAGCATAATTACACTTTTTTTTACATGACACTTTAACACAAAGTAAAATAGGCTACTGAGTATTAAATGACACATGTAAACATGCCCTGTTTTGCTTAAATAATCAGTATTGCACAGGATGAAAATGTTGCTACTTGTTGTATATTTAGATCCTGCAACCACAAACACCATTATGTGTGTGTGGTCTTCTTTTAGGTATCATTAAAATATGCAATCAATTTCAGTTCTATCCTCCATGCCCTGTGAATATGTTAAAAGGTTATTATTTTCTCCATAAGAATATCAAAAAATATTAATAAATCCCTTCACATTAATTATTGTTAGGATGGATCATAATGAGTATGTATCATTGAGATTTGTTGTGTGCATGCTATGTGCATTTCAAGGATTCCTGAAAATTTTAATGTCATGATCTGTGCAGAAATTAATATCACAAAGTGAAAAAACAAGAAAACCAACGTCTCTGGAATAATAAGAAAGATGAGAAATGACTTAGTAATTGCTGCACTGAAGATGTCCAGTTTCAGCATAGCAATTAATGACATGCACAGACGCACATGCACACGCATTCTAATTCATCTATAACAATAAAAACATTCCATTGTAAAAGTCAGGGAGGAATACCATCACCAAGGGAGGCAGTTTGTAACTAGCAAGACCCTTCAGCAACACTTCCATGTTTTTAAACTATATCTTCCATTTTAATTCATTTAATGCTTTTTTTTTTTTCTAGGAACCTACCATTATTTCAGCAATGAAGATTTCCACAAAGCAGGTACTGTATGCACAAGCTTTAAATCATTCTTTAAATATTTACTGGCCTGTATATTTCAGAGACACTAACTTGGCAGGTAGTAGAGACATATTAATTACACCAGCAGCATCTCATCCTTTTACATAAACACCAGTATTTTCTCAAGGAAAATGTGACAGGCAAAGGAAAAAAGGGAAAACCTAGTGTGTGCATTTCTGGCAAGGTGGAAACTAAATGCAAACTAGCCAGCTGTTCATAGGATCTCAGGAAAAATTCCACGTTACTGAAGCCTCCCACATGACTACGAAGCTGTTAAATTTACAACATGTCTCTATTTGGACTTTCACTTACTGCTGCTCCTAGGGAAGTTAGTGGCAAAACTCTCCATTGATTTAAGTGGGACTCCAGTCATTTTCTGCATACATTATAACATCTTTGATCAAGGAGACTAAAAGGTAGAGGTGAATTATGAGCTCTTTCCCTGTGCCTTAGCACCATGCTGCTGGCTTTGGGCCTGATTCTGTAAATCTTGCTTGCCACCATGAATATTCCCACTAACATTGTGGTTCTAAGGCTGATACCTGACAGTTTTTGGAGGATTGGGTCCATTTATGATTATGCATATTCCACCAGGTGCCGTTCACCCATCTGCAACAGGTCCATGGGAGTCCTGTACCCTGTTAATATAGAGCATCAAGTGAGCCTTAGGGGTACCTTTTAATTGTGCCAACCCCCTTTAGAAAGCTGAGTTACATCCTATAATGAAAAAGATTACATTGCATTTGAAAGCTTATCTAAGTCTATCCCAACCATGCAGTTGGTCTAATAAACCATATCACCCACAAAAATCTTGGCTTATGCTATAATGAACAGACAAAGCTCTCCTTTTCAGAGGCTGAAAAATGTATCCAGGCCTCCACTGTACTCTGAATATGTCTCTGAAAAATTGCATGCATTTGAAACAAAACATGTTGTTTGGGGCCACTTCCCTGACACAGTTTATCACTTAAAATAACAGAAATGGCAGTGTAAGAAGAATGTGCCACTGAAGACAAAAATATTTAAAAACAAGCCTGTCAAGCTGTATATATGTTTACAGCAGACCAAAATGCTCTGCTTTTGATTATTTTTATAATCACATTCCATTAAAGCAGCCAATCATATTTTATAATGGCCTATGCATTTCAGTACAACCTCTTCTTCAAAGCATCTTTATTCATTCAGGAGTGATTACAGTTTTCCTTGAGCCTTTTGAAAACAATTTTACAATATTAACATTGTCCCAAGCTATAAAGAGCATAGAAAGTTATTCAAGCAAAGTTAAGATCATGAAATATCAGCCAGCCTTGGGTTAAAAAGTTACAGAATCATGATGCAGCATGACAAGCTTTTGGCACTGCATCTTTGTATCAAAGAAATATTTGGCAAGGCACTACCATATTATGTTTATGATTTAAAATGCTGTAGGTTTTCTAGCTTGAACACATTGGTCATTGTGTTCTGATATATAGGGGGCTTTCATAAAAAACAGTGTGATAACAGAAAAAATTATTTCCATACATCACACAGAGCAAAAGCAGAAAATGTTAACAATAAAATTATCATGTTTTATTAAATAATTTCAAATAAATTGTTTTATTCTTTTTATAACTAAAAAATAATAGTTATGAACTAGGTAGAATTCAGTCTGGTTCAGAAGGCTCTGTTCTTGCAGCTTTCTGTTTATTTCTGGATACTCTAAAAGGTTGATTGTTCCCCCACTTCAACATTTTATTATAGCTACCTTTCCAGCCACCCCCATAAGTTCAGCGAGTCTCCACACTATGAATCTACTACATTTCAACTCACTTTTCTTCCTTAAGTATGGTTCCACAAGCTTTATTCCCAGTGTGAGGTTTATGAGATACAAACACCTCTGCAAAGGCATGAATATTACCTTTCTAGGCTGGACAAAAGAACGAGGGCCTTCTCTGTGGCCACATCTACATGAAGCGATTACTGCTCAGTAAGTTGTTACTACTGCACAATAGCATCATGGGACACGAATCTTGACACGATACTACTGTGCATTAGACCTGTGCGAAGCAGCAAGTATTCGACTTGGATTTGGATTCGGCCAATTCAGAGGGACACTGATTCAGTTCAGTGATTTGTGTCTCTGTCCCGATTTGACACGGCCAAATCGGATTCAAAGATTCAGCACTGATTCGGAGATTTGGCCATAGACTAAACAGGCAACAGTCCTCAGCCATGCTAGACACAGCTGCCTCCAGCTGGCAAATCTGTTGTGGTGGGGGAAGGGGGGAGAGAAGGGAAGGGGGGGGGCACAGATCAATGCCCCCACAATGAGGCAGGGATTGGGGCTGGGGCTGGGGCTGGGACAAGCTGCCCAGCTGGGGTGGTAGGGCATGGGACTCGGGGAGGGGGACTTCTGCCACCATGAGCCGCCACAAGCCACCAGTCCAGTAGGGCATGGGAGCAGATGTGTGTCCCCGGATCCGCACGAGGGCCACAATCCAGACAGGCAGTGAAAGGTGCTGGGAGCGGCGGCTATGCCCTCCCACCACTCGCCCAACTGGGGTGGGGAAGCGTGGGACGGTGCCACTGTACTGCCTTGGACAAGTGGTGCACAGTGGCTGAAGCCACTTCAGCCTCCCCACACTCCTAGACAAGCTGCAGCTTGGCTCCACCATGCCCCTGCAGGGTAAGAAGCACCATGGTATGGGGGTGAGTGCATGCACCTGGATCAGGAAAGGGCCAGTGGCAGAGGCTATAGAGAATTTTAGGGTGGTTGCAGCCCTCCCATAGTCCCTACTCCACTGTGCTGTGAGGGGCAGGAGAAGCCAGGAGTACAGCCCAGCCCAGCCTGCCCTGTGCACATCCAGGGGCCGTGCCTTCCTGGACCAGCGGTGTGGCAGCGTGCAGTGGCGGAAGCCCCACCCCCTGAGTCTCCCGCTCCTGCTAGGCCCCTTGTCCCAGCCTCAGCCCCAATCCCTCCCTCAATGTGTGGGGCATTGATCTGCCCCACCATGCCCCTTCACTCCCCCCTCCGCCCACCGCAACAGACTTACCAACTGGAGGAAGCTGTGTCCGGCATGGTCAAGGACTGCTGCCTGTTTGGTCTACGGCCAAATCTTTGAATCGGGGCTGAATCTCTGCGAATCAATTTCGAGGCTTCCAATTCGATTTGCACTTTTTAATGGGTCTCCCAATTTGCTTCAGATTTGGCTGCTGAATTGGACCAAATCTCCTCCAAATCAAATTGGCCACCAAAGCTTCGCACAGCCCTACTACACATTAATGATCTACTGCACAGTCATTGTCACCAGGAAGCCATGTGGGGACACTACTATGTAGTAGCTCTCATTACTTCACAATCATTTAGTACTTGTGTATTCAACTACTAAATGACTGCACAGTAACAACTATGTAGTCAGCGTCTCATGTAGACACGGCCTGTGAATTCAGAATGCACCTTCATATGCTGACTGTTTTCAGCTTTGTTCAAAGTTTGTTTTCAGCTTTGTTCTCTCTCCTTAGAAAGGCTAGATTTCAATTTAATCACTAATTCCCCCTAGTTCCTCCTATAGAGGTCCGGTCTCCTAAACCCACTGACCTTCAGGGCCTATTCAGTTCTTGCTGGACTGACAGCACACTTAGAACATCTGACTATAGCCTCTTGGGCACATCTCAGTGAGCCTGCATGTGCAGCTTGCAGAGCCTTAGACTCATTTGAGGTGCTGCAAACCACATGTGGTGTACAGGTACCCATTTGCTACACTGCTGATTTGCAGCACAGTGGATTTTTTGACACCAGGAGATCCCAGTGTCAAAAAAAACCACAGCTAAAAACAGTATGGCACATGCAGCAGCAGCATGCACTGCCAGAAAGAGACCCTGGTCAGCCAGGGCCATTCTCTGGCTGCTGACCAGGCTCTGAGCAGCCAGACAGGCACCACTGATGCCCCAGGGGGCCCCCAGGACCCCGTAAGGATGCTGGGACCAGTACAGGTGCCAGCTTCTCTTACCCAACCGAGGTCAATTTGCCATGCCACTGGAGTGCATGTGCAGGGTCATGCCCGGGGACAAATAATAGTGGTAGAAATACGTGCCACTGCTATTTGTGCTGTGGGAAGTGCATGCCTCTGCATGTGCTCACTCATCAGGACACATCCTTTGAGTCTATACTGTCGTTTGACCCCCTGCAGCACCTTAATAGCACCGTTGTTACAGGAACAATGCTTTTAGTTAGTCATGCTGACCCCAGATACTCCATCATCTCGGGTTCCACGGTTTGTGTCTTCAACTGGTGGCAGGAAACAGCTCACAGAGATGTATTTAACACCAGTTCTTTCCCCCTCCTTGTCTCCTGCTGAGTCAACACAAACAGGCTTCATTGAGTTGAGTAGGAAACAGCATGATGGTGAGCAGGCTTTTGCCTCTCTCACGCCTCCAACTTAAATTCACTCCCAGACTTACCTTCTAAAAAGAAAAGCTGTAAGCTAAGGTGGTCTCCGATTGACACTGTCAAGCTCTTAGGCCTCATCCAAACTTCTAGTCATGGGAGTGAAATGGCAAGATAATCTCTCAAACCTTCAGGAATATCTTACGATCTATTTATCCACACATGGGACGTATGGTGTCTTATTCAGTGAACACCATTTCTGCTCAGAGTGGATAGCAGTCACCCCTGAAGAGCGGGCCAGCACAAAATGATGCTCTGCTTATGTGACCTCTTACTGGCTCGCTGCAGAGGGACTAGTGCCCATTCCTCACAGTGCACACATCATTGCCAGAACGGTACCTTTCAGCACATATGCTGTGATTGTCATCAGAAAAGAGCAAGTTATGCATCTACCCTTCAGAATAATTCTGTGGGATTTGGGCCTCTCCTTCCCTTAAGGTCTTTAGAAAATTCCTTCCCAAAATGTTTGTTTTTTTAAACATTTTGTTTTGCAATGGTACATTTTTCACTACACATCAAGATGCCCCAGTTCTCTCTTATTCCAAGCACCAAGAAAAGGCTGCACCTCAAGTGTTTTTTGTGTGGTTTCTGATTGCAAACAGTGACTACTGGATTGCAAAGAACATATTTTACTCCTTGCTTATCCCACTAATCTTTTCTATAGTGCTGTTGCTGCCGTAGTTTGGAAGGAACTCTTAATGGATAAGCTCCTGCTATAGCTTGATCTGATAATCAGCTGATTGATTAAACACAAATTCTCTTGGGAGAGGCTTTGGGCAAAAGAAAGTTTGACTTCTATGACAGAGTATTACCGAGACATGGATACAGATCATTCCCTTAGTGCTTTTTCAATTTCATATTGCCTGGAATGATATATTATCACTCTTTAACATAATGCTCACCAGCTGCATCCTAAATGCATTGCTCTGAAGCAAAGAGGGTGGCAGTCTTGCGACCATAGGGTGTCTAAACCACAGACCGTACTTGCCGGTTTGAAAGTAATGAAGTTTCCAGCAGCAGCAAAATCTTTAAGTAATTTTACTTTGGCTTTATCACATATTTTTTAATTTCCCATGATGGTTCTCTGTTTACATTCAGCTTAGAGTTTCTTTCTGAAGAGATTTCGTAGACCTCAAGTTTTTGATCGGTTATATTAGTGTGTGAGAAACCTATTATACGTTGTAGATTACTCCATGGATAGCCCTGGATTCCTTTTACATGTTATATTGATTTAAGTTTATGACACTTTGCTACATGCTTCTATGTGGTAATACCCCAGTTACATACACTAATATTATTATACAACAGATGCCTAGACTTTAGATTAACGCCCAAAGATCCATCATTTCTCCTGCCAGTCAGTCATTCCATGCAGTATTTCCTCCTCTTCTGTTGTGTAAGCAGTTGTGTGAACATAAGGCTTTAGCCAGAGTAAATCTGATGCATCCTTGTATGATTTGGCAGAAGAGGGCAGCTTTGTCAGGACTCCATAAGAAGTAGAAAGGTCCTGGAAAAGGGGCTAAGGTGCCCTTCCAAGTGACTTATCCCTGCCATCTCTTGAGCATCCCCAACAAATTGGCAGCTACCATCATCTGACTTCCACGTAGGGTTCCTCTCTAAGGTTGTATAAGGTAGATGCAAAGATTCCCTAAAAACAGGGATTCTCACACCAGTGTCTGTCCTCTGAGACAGAAAAACTAATGAAATGTATTTCCAAGAGAGGCTGCTTAGATTCGGAACTTAAATAGTGAGGTCTTCTCCCTGGCAGGTTCAGTGCCTGGAGGCCTACTGCTCTGAAGTTTGGGGGCCTTCCTTCGTTGTGTAATGCCTGTTTTCTACCTCGCATACAGCTACATTTTAGTGACTCTATACATATACTAGGATATTTTTGTTTGGTACTGGAGAGCCTAAAACCAAAATGTTTCTTGCCAGGGTGCTGCACAGGAATTGTACTTCAATATCCCCTCTGTCTTCAACAGATCTAAGTTCACAGCAGGTTATCTGGGAAGTGGGCTAAAAAGGAAGTGTTTCAATTTTCCCATTTTAGTGTGGTGCTGCATCCTGCTATGTTTCCCATAGGTGTCCATCATCTTATATGGCTGGGGTTGGCAACCCCTGGTACACATGCCAGAGCATGGCATGTGAAGGCATTTTGCTTGACACATGCAGCTTGGAACAGACAGTAGGGACAGGGCTGGGGCTGCACTGCCACAACAAGGTTCGGGCCCTTCACAGCTCCCCTGATGTCCTCCCTGAAGTGTGTGTGCACCTGCCGCCAACAATGAGCCAGGCCGGGGCTCTGCAGACCTCAGTGCAACTGCTTGCAACCTCCCCGCCACCTGCTGTGAGCAGCCCTGGCTTTGTGGCAGGCAGCAGGGGCCTGCCCAGGGTCCAGGTTGGCTGTAACAGTTGGAGTGACTGGCTGGGGTGCAGTATGCCTTGAGATGGGGGAGCAGGCAGCACCCTGTGCAGCACCCTGGGCTACCTGCTCCCCTGTCTTCACGTGCCCTTCCCAGCTGGGTGGGGTGCAGTGTGCCTTAGTTTGGGGGATGCCTGCTGGCTAGCCCCGTACTGAGGCACCCTGCAGCCCGGCCAGACCCCCTTACAGCATGGGGAGCCTGGCCAGATGCTAGAAGGAGCTGGGCACGGGCAGTTTGCCCACAACAGGACAGTGTGTCTCGCAACAAAGGACACATTGTAGGGGTGTGTGCTGTGGCACAAAGTAATGGCACAAATTTGTGTCGCTGCAAGTGCATGCCCCTGATTGGCTGGACACGGCCCAGGAGCAGACATCATAGCACTATTATGGTGTAAAAAAAATATACACGAGAGGAGAAGCAGGTCCCACAACACACACACACACACACACGCACACACAGAATAATGTATTTTGCATGTCTTTCTAGTGAAACCTGATCATTTGCAAAATTGTACTTTTCTTCACAGCAACAGCTCTACATTGGCTCAGCAACTGGAGTTTCACAGCTTCCTTTGCACCGCTGTGATGTGTATGGGAAAGCGTGTGCCGAGTGTTGCCTTGCTAGAGACCCGTACTGTGCTTGGGATGGCTCTTCTTGTTCCCGTTACTTTCCCACTGCTAAAAGGTAGGAACAGTTTCAGATGTCGGAATCGCATGCTACTTGCCTTGACTGATTGTCTCAATGTGACCTGAGGGCTTTAGAGATTTTTCATAGGGTGGTTAACTGGAGCCTTTTCTATTCCAAGGAAAACAAGTCACGGGAGTTACAAGCAATATCAAGTCTTGCTTGATTGAATATTACTACTTCTTGGGATGAATTGGAAGAACCATGGTAAAAAAAAAAAAAAAATTCAGGAAGATGCCAGCTCTGAAATGGAAATATAACTTCTTACACAGTAGTAAATGTCAACAACATTTTTTAAAATCTAAAATAGAGAGCAACTTCATATATGGCTTATTCCTGAAGTCATTTGCTCACCATAACCTTATTGCCTTACATTTTCAGAAGTAGAAATGCTAAATGAATATTAATTGAGTGTCTGGGGATCAATAGAAAGGGATTATTCACATGTACACCTCTATCAACATTACCCAAATCAGAATAGATACTATTCCACATCCGCTTTCTGCTTTGCATTGGTTTAAATAACTATATACATGGTATACCTATTTTTTATTGCTGTATGACTTGAGTAGTTATTTATCTCAGTGCCAAGTAGATACAAAATGGTATCCATTCTGATCTGGTAGAATTTTATACTCATTGGTGTCAATGATTACAGACGGTGCAAAGGAGAGAGGAATCAGCCCCTTCAAGTGGAAAATATTCATTTTCGTACTCCTAAATACTGCAGATTAGCTGCTTGTCTGAAGTTTTAAAAACATATATTCTCTGCCTCCATTCAGTTTTAAGACAATCACTCTTCAGCTTTAACTTCAGCCAAGAGAGTTAAAACGTGCTGTTAGATACACAAGTATAAATATGGAATAACATAATTGATAAACACATGAAAATAAGAGCAGACTCTTGGCCATGCTTGGCATATCACATCTTTCTATCAGGTGAGTTAATGCAAAAAGCATTTGCTCAGAGGAAGATCATGTCAAAGCAAATCTGGCAAACATTTTACACTTCAGAAAATGTGAGAAGTCCAGAAATTTGCATGCAGAAGTAGCAATCTTTATCTTGAAACTGAAGTTTACTGTTATTTTTGTTGGAAATAGCAGACTCCTGGGACTGGCTGGTTGGTTGATGCCTGGAAGACATGGGTGAAGTAGGGGTTGGTAGCCAACATCTGTAGCAAAGTTACTTCAGATAGAGAGGACTGAAATTTCCAAGGTTTGCATCTTAATTTAACCTAGTAAAGAAAGCAGGCACTTATGAAACATCAGGCCTTATCTTTGCACTGGGACACAGAGGCAACCTGGGGCAAAATAGTTCAGAAAAGTTCCAGAAAAAAGGTAGAAAGGACAAGCTAAACATCTCAGTCATAAAATTAACACTCTTAGAAATAATAGAAATGCCACAGTTCTGCCACTAACAAATCCCTGTCATTCCAGACACCTGACCTGCTGGGAATGTCTTGTTTTGGGGCACTTGCTAATATCTCTTCCTTTTATTTAATCATTTGGGATTTTTGTAAAGACAGGATGTCTTAGCAGTTGCAGTTTTTATTTTCTCCCCTTCTATTGCATATTCAAGGAGCCTAATGATGGTTTAGAAAGCCTATAGTGTGACCACTTAACCCAGCCTTGTGCAGATGCTTTCTGGCTCATGTTTCGTAGGTCCCCAAGTTGGCTTAGTGATGAAACATGACATTTGCTTGATATGCTAATTGTCCAAAATACAGTGACATTAATGTGAGTCTTTCTTTAGGTCTCATTTCTACAAATAGCATCCTATAAATATGTTGGCCTATAGCATTCATGAAGGTAGTGACAAAAATTGCATTTGTAATTCTTACTGGCTTGGATATGGTTGTTTCACTCGCATTGAATGTAACATTTCATAAGAAAAATGAGGAAGCATGCATTCAGTGCTGCGGTAAAGCAATAAAATAGTGTCTCTGTAGTGTGAACACTAAAGTAAGGAAAGGTACCTTATCTTAAAAACATTGAATATACTTTATGATAGCAGCACTGGGTAGGTGCCATCAATGTACAGTGTTTCAATAAGACTTACATGCCAAAGGCAACATTAAAGAAAAAAAATACAGAACAAAACTGGTACTTCCACTCACCTACAGTTCCAAGCACGTAATCCTGCCTCTAGAAGTGGGCATGGCAAAAGGGACTGCAACCCAGGATCTCTCCCTCTGAGACAGCTGTTCTCATTATTGAGTCAGACTCCCTTTCATTACTTCCCTGGACCTTATGCAGATTAAATTAGACAGTCATTGCTTATAACATAGAAGTAGCCCTGACTTCAGGGGCTGAATGAGAGGGAACTCCCCCTCCCAGGTGAGTGCTTTAGCCTCTAGGCTGCAGAGGCAGGTTCTTTCTTCCATAGTCCATACTCTTCTTCTGGTGCCATGACTCTTGTATTATCAGCTGTCCAGTGGCCTATCTCCAATAGGACAGGTAGGCAATGCCCTTACCCAGCCTCTTCTATATATTTGTGGTTAGGGAACTCTCTGCAATGTGAGAAAAATGTCTAAACCAACATTTCCAGAAACAGTTACAGGCTTAAAGACTCAACACGTGCCACTAATAAAACATTTCATCTGAATTCCCACCCAGCTCTAAAAAGAAATTGTGTCTTTGAGAGCAATCGTCAGAAAGCCCTTCCACCCACCCCACTCTGTTGTTGTTAGTGAAAAGTTCCAACTGACCTAGTAATGATGGTCCAAGAGAGATTTCACTGGCACTTCAGGAACAATTACTTTCTTTTTCTGAATTTGAGCATTTGTGACTGAAGGATGAGACCAAGCATGGCTTTTACAAGGATACTTGACTTTTGCCTATGTGTTGCTGGATTCCATAATCTGAAATCCAAGTATTGTTCAGCCAGCTAATCCTCTTTGCTGTCTTCTGATTTGCAGTCCCTGCCTTCCTTTTATGCCTCAAGTGAAGTGCTCACACTCTAAACACATCTTTGTTTGCCCTGTTCTTTTCTTCTATTCTAAATGAAACTCTTTTCTATGACTTGAATTGGGTTTTGTGTCGCAGACATTGAGGTAACAAAAGAGACAAAGAACACAACTAACGCAAACAAAAAGAGAACTGTATAAAAAAGATTTTTTTCTCTATAAAATACAACATTTTAAGCAAGGTAAGAGAACAGTTTTATGTCAATGGACATCAGTTTGGAAGAATATACACTATAGTAAATGGGCACTATTGTAAAAACCTAGAGATGGACTCAGGCTACGAAATTTGGACTATAATTTCTCTCCTATGATTGTATTTCTATCTAGGAGTAATTGTGAGTCCAGGTACCTGTGAATGAGACACTCTTATTTTATCTATCACAAATCTAAAGTTGATCACTGACACAGCTACTAACATTTTTCCATGGTATTTTTAGACGTACTAGACGACAAGATATCCGAAATGGAGACCCTCTTACTCATTGCTCGGATCTGCAGCACCATGGTAAGTTAGAGATATTTCACTTAAGTGAAACTAGCTGGCGCATGATATGCAAACTGGGCATGGATGGGAAGCAAAAATAGGATTCACTAGTGAAACTATAGTGCACAGTTGTGGAATATAAATGTACTCACCTTTGTTCCTTAACTTATCTTTGACTACATTAATTCAGATAACGTGTTCAGGATCCTTGTTTCTTTACAAGCTTATAATCAATTTTTGCTTTTTCTTCAGTTTTCTACTCTGTCTGACATTGCATCATGCCAATATGCTATGCATATCATGGAGCAATAAAATTATATTGTATTGTAACATGACACCAGAATGTACATGTAGCTTTGGAGAGATGTCATACTATTTACAGCGATCTAACTGAGCACATTGACACAGAGTTGTACGCTAGTGAGTGAACAAAAAGAACAGTTGTCTTCTCCTCCCTCCAACATTGTTTCCTGCCATAGTCCAGCCTCATTTTAAATAGGGTTTCTACCACTTCTGTATCACTCAGTTTTGTTGTTGGCTGAATATATTTCACAGAGCCTTACCCAGATCTTTCCTTTACTGACTGGTTGTATCCCGGCAGACAAACCTATCTTTGCACCAGTTTGCTGCCAAACCCTTTAAAACATGCTCATTCAAAGAATGAGAAATTTGCTTTTTGCCCTAAGTAAAAAGAACACTTAGACAATACAATACTTCCCTCTGCTGGAGAATGTTGATTACTAGTGGATTTGTGACATCAGATCAGTCTTGGTTAATTCAAGGATACATATGAGTATACATATATGTATACATATAAGTATATATGTATACATATGAGTATACATATGTATTCTGTATACATATGAGTATACATATATAGCACCCGGAAGTAGAGATGCATGGCACTCCTATTGTCTTCAGCTCCTCTTAATAGCAAATATGGCAACTAATCCTAACTCATGTGTCTGTATTATACACATACACCTCAGATATGTTGCAGTAATACTTCTGTCTTACCTTCTTCATGCTGCCTCAAACCTAACATTATTGGGAATGTGGGGGGTCCAATTACTTTGTGGTTGGTAGACCAAGTACAAGATAATGTGAGGTAATCAAAATTGTATGAAGAGATATTTTGCTTCAAGATCCATCATCATGCCCCTTCCATGGCTTGGAAGCTCATAACACATGAAATGATTTGGGAGGCTCAAATTCATGATACTGCAGGGAACACAGCCTGAGAAAATAAGAGTTGCTATATTAAGTGAAGACAACAGTTTGCAATTGCATATGATATGCATTTTACTCAGGGGTAATCAGGCAGATTAAGCAGCCTGTGTTTTGCACTGGAAGAGTGTTCCCAATTCACTAGAAAGAATCTGTAGTGCAACCCCTAACTTGTGGATTATGTTTTCAGCAGAACCATGCACAAACCCCAGTTACATGGGTTGTGATCTCCTGAATGCACTGACCTGACCTGAAAGTCCACAGAGAAGGTTCAGTCCTTAAGTCTATCACCAGGCTCTCAGCCTGACATGACTTAATGCTTTTTCATGGGATGAATTCCTGAACTCAGTAAATTCAGTGACAGAACTCCCATGAGTTTAACAGAAGCAGAGATTCACCCATGGTTTGGTAGTTAAAAAAAGCAGTAGGCTCCGTTCCTTGTAAATACCAAACAGCTGTGTCCCTCCAGCAGTGCTGATTAACCTAGAAAGCTCTTGGGCCATCAGGCAAGGCAACTCCTTTACATGGTATAATTTCAGAGCATTGCTCTGCACATTCTCTACCTCTAGAGCCCTGCCCATATTTTAGAACAATAATCGTTGAAGAAGTGTCTAGCAACACCTCTTGCATTGGCCAGCTCTACTGGCAAAGCTGCAGGGTTCTTGTTTATCTTCATACCCAAAAAAGAGAACTGCAAAAACACCTTTCATTTCTCTTTCTCCACTTGACGCACAAAGGAGATTTTCAGCTGGAAGGGCAGCATGTAACCTATAGCTGTTCTTGCACTTAGTTTCTGGCCATCACTTCAGACAACCTGCTATGACCAATCATGTGGTGCAGCAATTTTATTTGGAAAAATATCTGCTTTATTCATTCCAAGTAGAAGTAATGTAAACTTGTTCAAGTATGTCAACAGGAACTCCATAAAGGCAATAGCTGAGCTGAGAGCAAGATACCCCTTGGTGAAATGAAATTCAGTGAGATGATAAAGTTGGAAATGATTAGGAACAACAGCAACCCAGAAAAAAATATTTAAAATATCTTGACACTGGCCTCCAGCTGTACTTCTGTGAGGCACTGTAACTACAAGAGATTTGGCTTAAAATATCACATGCCACAGATATCTTCCAGCTTTCAATCTAATCTGTAATTTATTTAGCTACAATTCTGACTTTTCTCTGGTTGCTATGTTATAAAAATGGATCAAAATTATGGAAACTCTTTGTGAATCTGTTGAGAAATGGATAGAAATTATGGTGCTTTCTCACTTGCATTTGCTGTTACAAGTACACGCATTTATGACATGGTGCATAACCAAGCCGACTGGTCCCAAACATTGTGGCTAAATGTTATTTGGGACCAAACATTATACAAAAACTAGTTCAAGTGATCAGAAACTAGTTTAAACCTGTAACAAAACAGAGGTCCACTGCAATACACCAGTTTGAAAATGGCTGAAATTGGTTTGAGATAAATTTGGCTCAATGTAGTATCAGACTTAACTGATTTGGGTCAAACCAGTTTATGCAATGTCTGTTCCAGACCTCTTCCTGGTTTAAGTTAAATCAGCTTCCTCCAGCATCCCAGATGCATTGCAACCCTGGGCGGAGCTCTGCTCCCTGGCTGTTGCTCCAGCAGAGACTGCAGGTACAGTGGGGTCTGCCTGGCTTCCTCCTGCTCCTGCCCACCACCACTCCCTACTCAAGCAGGGATTCCCACCTCCCCACTGCCTTACACAGACACCTCTCAGCATTAGCTAGCGTATCACATGCTGACTACAGTCTATGCTGTGGGAGACAGGACAAAGGCAAACAGAATAGGGTCAGCTTACAGCCTTTTAAAGCTAATCATCAGGTAGCTGGTCATGTCCCTCCATTCGTTCCTTGGAAAAAAGTTGTTTAAGAAGAGCTTGAACTAATGAGAGAAACATTGTTTTGTTTGCTGGGGTGATAAATACTAACAATTCCCTTTGTAACTCTCTGCTGTGTAACTCAATGCTCTGTTATCAACAGTGTGGGGGGAGAAACTCCTCCCTAATCAAAGCATCCTACTGGGGTCTGACCACATCCCCCCCTCAGCTCAGCACTGTTGAGGGGAAGAGAGGGCTGCTCTAGCACCCCCTAAAATAAGGAAAACCCCTCCCCCACCGGCTTCTGGCCTGAGCCATTGCAGGCATGTGCCTGCATCTCTTCAGTCCAGAGGGGATGTCTGTGCAGTTACAAACTGGTTTAGCCTAGCCAGGTTAGACTAACCTGCAAAGATTGAATCAATTCAGGCTCAGGCTCAGGCTTTTTGAATGTCTGCCTGTAGGCTATATGTGAATTACTGCTAATTTTCTTTTCTATATTACAACCAACAGTCTCTTGAGTAGCAGATGCAAAATGGGGTTTATCTTGTAAATGAGAAATATGCTCTGGAAGTTCTTCTATCGATTTCTCTAAACATTCATCTGTATTGCTTACTCATTGATTCTCTCCCTGTGTGCCAGGACCATGAACCAAGAAACTGCATAAGCAAAGAATAGCCTGTTTTCTGTAACCACCTTTTCTCAAAGACAGTTCATAGCAAATTTCATTAAGAAGCTTCTGACAAGGCCATTTGAATGTGCTCTGAGCAGGATATGAGTAGTTTATGATCTTACCTAATGTCATTAATAGGGTTCAACCTAATTTGTATGAGAGTATGAGAAATGTGAGGTTCAGTGGTACTTTTAATCTTGCTGTTTTCACCATGCACCCCCCACCCTCCACCGCTGATTGCCCAAGAGACCACAGTGGCCCCACAACTCGCTGCTTGCTCCTGATGATCAGCCAGAAGGCAAAAAACATGGTTTTAAATATTCCATGGTTTTTGCCTCCCATCACTGGTTGGGCAAGGGGTCCTGGCAGTCCTGCTGCTCGCTGCTGATCAGCTGAGAGGCAGAAACCATGGTATATTTAAACTGCATTTTTTGCCTCCTGGCTGATGAGGAGCAAGTAGCAAGTGGCAGGGCCAGCAGGGTCCCTTGGCCAATCAGTGGCAGGGGGCACACAGTGAAAAGAGCAAAATTAAAGGAACCGTTGCATAGTGTGCTTCTGGCATGATTTAGGCATATCCCTAGTTTTGAATGTCTAAAGAAATTAAGTTCAGAAACACAGTAGAACAGAAACAATTTGAGCAAAATATTGAGAAGTATAGCACACTAAAACTACCACTGACACAAAAGGGAATTGTGAATGATCAGTGTAATCAGTTCTAGTTAACCAAGTATTACAGTTTGAATCCAAGTGACAGCCATAAAAATATAAACATCTCTTGTTTAAACTAAAGAACAACATGTCCCATAACCACTTTTATACCACCCTTAACTATTGCCTGTAGTGGACTCATTTGATTATTTTTTGGACCAGTCATGAGGAGGAGATCCATAGTCACCTAATGTGAATAAAATCACCCAGGATTCCCTGTATATCTCTGAATTTGAGCTTGTTGAGAAGCATTCCTTTGCAAAAAACTGTTCTTGTAGATAGGTACCTCTTTTTCTATTATGTCAGTAGTAACGTAGTAGTAAGGGCTATTTATCAGGAAGGAAAACTGATCCTGTGCTTAGCTCCACCTTGAGAATGACAGCTCTCACATAGGATTTTCATTTGAATTTCAAAACAAGCTTCATGATTTCCATTCCCTTCCAATTCCTCCAGCTACTCCTCTGAACTTTCCAGGTTTTCACTTTCCTTTGCTGCTTCTTCTCAGGACTTTCTGTCACTTTCAGACCTATTTCCTGATTTGTTAGCTACTTTATCATTTTATATACT